CTGCCTTATGTAGGTTTTCCTACAAGATGTCAACTAGGAACTAGTTGTCATTGAATTCATGCATGAGCAGAAATGATTCTACCAGGCGCAGAATAGACTATTTGCAGCCTATCAGATATCTAATTAACAAGATAACATTTTGTAATTTTTTTGATACTACGAGTATATAGTTTTTTACGTAATAACCATGCGGAGCTCCTATCCATAACAAGGCTTTGAGAAAAAAGCTACTGCTCAGAGGCGGGGAAAAGTAGTGCTGCGCGTGGTGTGTGCTTACAAAAGTTCTGGTGGTGGCTGGTATTCCGTCAATTGATTTCCTGTCTGAGGGATGTGCGTTCTATAAAAAAGATGCAGAAGTTAAAAGCGACGAAAGGGAAGTAAGAGAGATGAGATGCAGCTGACCATAGTGCATATTAAAACTTGGATTGACAAGGGAGCGGTGCGGATAGATTACTATACACATGACATGGTTGTTTTGACAGCTACCTGAAGAGGGGGTAGGAAAGAGAGAGTATGCAAACTGCGTATATTCCAACTAAAAGGAGGATACTCCTAATCATTTACTCGAATCTGTTAATGGGTTGACTACCAGAGACAGCTGGAATTGATGCTCGGAGAGAGGCTCATTGCTGACAATTTGGCTACGCATGTAAGAAAGAATAAATGCATTGATCTTCAACCAATAGTGAGGCTGATGCCACTGCGCAAGGTGCAAGAGAACAAAAATAGACCAAGCAACTTTGCATAATGATGATGATTCAAAGTTGGAGTACTTATCTTGTTTTTGCAAGACAGTGTAATCTGTTTAAGGATGAGGACACAGTCATGAGAGGAGAGGATTAATTCCACAGGGTGATTCAACAGTATTCAGTGCTGAATTTTACATTGATCACGACCTTGAAGGTAAGATCAAGACTAAGACGATTTTTTTTTAAAATGAGACCCAATACCTTTGACCACTGGAACAGATACAAAGGAAATTTTTACGTTTATATATAAGGTTGGGTGAATATACGAGTAGTATTTTGATGTTGAACGTACCTGATCAGGGTCATGTCTAAAAGTAAAATTTTCCGCTCTATCCGCTTTCGGGTTCCAACGTATAGGACATCATGCAAAATCCTTGAATGGTTTTTAATTTGACCGTCAAGGTCGCAGTCAAGGTCAGTTTCGAGGTCACCACTGAATAACTAGGGGAAACTGAAGCCTCTGCTGACTTTGAGTTCTTATTTTTGCATTAGCTTTAGAAACATCCCTAGAATACTGTCATGTGAGTTTATTTTTCCGTTTGCCTTGACAATGACGTTCAAGGTTGAAATAGTTTTCATTCAAGGTCATAACTAAACGTAAGATTTTTCGTTCTAACTGTTTTCAAGGTCAAAAGTATAGACTACTACCACTAAAGAAAAAAATGTCGTAATATTGATTTTAATGTCAAGGTCATGATCATTAGTTAAAAAAATGACGCTTCTGCTGCTTTTGGATTCGTATTTTTGCTTTATCCTCAGAAAGATTCCTGAAGTACTTTCAAACGTTTTTTACCATCTGAATGTAAAGACTTCCGCTCTATACGGTCCCGGTGTCGAAAGTATTCGTTCACATTATAAAAATCGTCGTTGACCTTCAAGGTCATGCACAAAGTGAATTTCAAGGTCACTGCAAAATAGCCAATACTAAAAGTACTACTTTACTTTTATTATATGTCTTGAATATTCGCACACATTTTTCCGCTGTGATACTTCGGGATCCCTCTTTATAGGGTCTTTTAAAATGATAGGTCATTTGATTTAAATTGGACAATCTCAGGGTTTATAAGGGAAGTAAATTACCTTTGTGGCGTTAGTACAAACATTGCATAACTTACAAGCTTTAGACCTCGGTTGGCCGCGTGGGTCAGAGTGTCGTGCTACTGATCAGCCGGTCGGCCGGACCGCGAGTTCGAATCTCGCCTTCGCCATGGATGTTGTGTGTTTGTTTTAGGCAGCAGCGGTGGCCGCAGTAGTAGACTCTTCGGTCTCCTGATCAGTCGCCGTGCGCCGTGCGGGTCCGAGTCCCGTCCCAGGAGAAATTTTTCTCTTGGCTATGGATGTTGTGATTGTCCGTAGGTGGTAGATGGTCTCTGACTGTCGAACGCGGAGGTACCACCCGGCGGTTCTCGTAGGCGGAGCCAGAATGTGTGCATGTTGCATGCACACGTGTTCCCTCGCCAGAGTCCGTGTGGCGTCCCCCCTTTTCCCATGTATCCCCCTATAGCCCCACGGTACCCAATGGGTGCTTAGGCCTTAGGCCTTCGTGGTAGTTGGAGTATAAAAAAAAAAACAGGATCCTGTTAGACATTTCGTACATATTACTTCTACATAGCGACTCTAAAAATACTAACAATATCAATCAGACATATAGTAGAAATGAAAATAGTCCTTTCCCTTGTCTGTCTTCATTAACTAGACCTATACGGTACTGATAATTGCTAAAGAGCGTTGTATACTGTTGGTTATGTTCACAGAGATCAAACAGATCCTATTCAACATATGATTAAATGAGTTTTTATTTTTTTTTTCAGTCATTATCTTTTAGATCAGAGATATTGCACATCATCATCATCTAGCGAATACGGACAAAGGATAGAATATGAATGGAAAAATCCAGGAGATACTGAGACCTTAGGAAGCGCTGAGAGGTATTTATATGATCGAATATAATGTAGATAATTATATGATACCCTGTATCCAGAAGAATGTGAAAATGAAGATGCGTTTTTTTCGGCGGAACCCTAACAAAAGTCTGGGACAAATTGTTACGGACCGTACCTAATAAGGCTTATAATTCTTAAATATAGGGTCGCGGTCGCAACTCAGGTGCCTGGTCGGCTTTTTCTAACGCACAGGCTTCAGATTCATTATTTCCATCCTCTGAAAGTGGGAGGTGCAGCTTTTTGAATTACCACCGTCCTCTAAATTACTACTACCACTAAGATATTTTTCATATTTTGTGAGTCATTGGACCATTCTTCGATCAGAATGGTTCATAGACCCATTGAACGTGTTATTATCGAAATATTTTCAATTCATTGACATGTCTATTCTTATATTGAAAAAATGATGACAAGTGGGTTGACTCTGCACTTCCCATGCAACGCCGTTATCAGTTTATAAAGGATTATGTTTTAACACCATCAACTAGACCCTCTGAGAAAAAGCCAGTCAAACAGATCCATACAATTAGTCCCTAGACATTCTTTTCCTGGCTTACCACGAGTAGTGCACCTTGAAACGTCGCCTCTCCCCGGTTTTAGACGTGACTGTGTGATCAGAGCATAGGAAACACTATGCTGTGGCGGGGCAGAACAACAGAACACCCAAGGGCTAATATACGGAGAGATCTTTGATGTGTGACATATGTCTAATAGGTGCGTAGAATTACCAAGGTTAGGAACCTATAAACGTACTAACATAAAAAAATGGAAATAAACCCTTGCCAGCCCCCTACAACCCCCACCCCGTTTACCTCTAATTCTCTAAATTTTTTTTCAAAAATGAGCAGGATCCTCTGAAGCGTCAAAAAACCAAGTTTGAGCGATTTTTATTCTTTTTAGTTTTTGGCAATTTTCTCTGCGGTCACTGGATCAATTTTCAAAACCTACACAGCTTTTTGCGTCCTTGGCATAGTAGTAACATTGTGTAAATTTCATCGAAATCCGAGCGGTACTTCTGAAGTTATAGGCGGATATAAGACTAGCGGACAGACCGACAAACAGAACGACGGAAATGGGTGACATGGTTTTTCCTGATGTATATGTCAAAAAACAGAATATCTCATTTTCAAAAATTTTCACGATTACAATACTTCCCCGCCAGCAGGCGTGGGAAGTAAAAGTCGCGAAGACAAAACCTTATTACCAGATAACCACGACTATTAAAAAGATGAAAACGAGATTTTGTACCTTAGTCCAACGAAAATGTAACTCACTGAGACTGGGAAAATCTCTGCTGCTAGATTGTTCTTCATTCTTTCTCGACGACTTATTGTAGAACGTGTAGAATACGGTAGCACCCCGAGGAAGCCCTCTGAGGAACAAACTCCATCGGCTTATGAAAAAGGCTTGAGTCGTTCTATTTAGTAAACGACACAGATCAGAAAAAGGAATTACATTTTGTTTCCAAAACACCCTTGATACCATCTTAAAAATCCAAATTCGAGATTGATTTGTCAAAAGCGCTTGTCATTGAGCTGTTGAGACTCTGAAATCTCAGACTTCAACTTTCTTGGTGGTTTTTATACATATATATTACTTTTTTAGAACAATAGAATAAGCATGCATTTATGTATTCCAGAATTTAAAACTTGTACTTGTGTGATTATATACTAAGTGTCAGAAAAAATAACATCCAGTAATAATAATTAGCTTCTTAGTGAGAGAACATCTTTGACTAATACTAACGACGTAACATTTGCAACCTTAAACCCGTTTGAACCCCCAAGTTTCCACACCTACAAAAAAGTTTGAGCATTTTTTGTTTTTCTCGTGTTTTTGCCCCTAGCTTCGCCAGCACTAGACCGACTATCAAAAACTAAACTAAGCTGAAAGCATTTTCAACCTTGGCATAGTAGTAATCTTGTGTGAAAATTTCATCAAAATCCGAACAGTATTTGTCAAGTAATAGATGGTTACAAGATTATCGGACAGACCAACAGATAGACAGACCGACTGACCGACTAACATCCAGAGAACATAATATCTCAATATCGAAATTTTTCGCTATTTCAATACTTCCTCGTCAGTTGGCGCAGGAAGTAAAATATAATATATTCAGTGTTACTGGGTGTTTCTTTTTATGTCACTTAGTATATTCACAAACTAAAGAAAGTTGCAACATCAATTCTTTGAACTTTATATTTGATGTATGCTTGAGCACAATAGAAAACTTTTCATAAAAACCCGTCTTGTCCAGATTGTCTAACTACTTATCCAAGGAATGATTGAACACGTAAAATATACTTACAGCCATCTGATAGCTTCGCCAATATCCAAAGCAAGAAAACTAAAAATCACTACCATCCAAAACTTCCGTTTCATTGTGAACAGTTTACATGTTAACTTTATATTAAAGTCCCGCATCGGTATCAACAAAGCTTCATTTTTGTCCGGTAAGTACGAACTGCGAACTGTATCAAACGTGCGTTAAACTATTTTTTGTCATCTTCAAAACGATCGTGAAGCTTTATTTAGCTTGTGCTTCACCTCCGGTTCTTCGGTTGTTTCTCCGTACGCGGCCGGATTTTAACTGGCGCGCGGATTCAGCGATGTGGTTTCAAAGCCGCCTTGATGTTACGTCAGTTCAAGAAATCTTCCCGGAGATTCACTCAGATATAGTTCTACATGGCAGACTTTGATTTCTGATGATTATTTCCTAAATCATCAAAAGTATATGACGAATAAAATAGTTTCAATTCGGGGATTTAAACAGGGTGTCCAGAAAGTGTGGATACATCAAAATATCTGGAAAAATACGTTTCCTAGAGAAACATGATTTAGAATAAAGTTGTAAGGTTGGAAAAGGATAATCTAATACTAGCCTTTAACGTGACCTTGATGGTGACCTTCAAGGTCTTTTTAGGACATCTAGACGGTATGAAGAGAATCTCGAAAAATATAATTCTTAGAGAAATATTGCAGAGTAAAGCTGCAAGACTTAAAAGGGTTCATGTTAGGGTGGTCGAGAACGAGACCTTGACTACGATCTTAAAGATTTTACGATGATCGAGGATTTAGCAGGTCGTGCAGTTACTGCTCTGGTAGCAAGAATAGGGGTATAAAAAATTATTTAACCTTCAAATGACCTTGAAGATCGTAGTTAAGATGTTCCTGTTTGTTATATCCTCGACAAAAAGTAAGAAGTTTGTTTTGAAATTTGATCTAACCGTCAAAGGTCATGGTTGAGTTTTATTTTCAAGAATATACTTCAACGTAAAATTGTCCGCAATTTGCATTTCAGGAGTTAAAAATAGATGTTTTCCATTAAAAATTAAGATGAGGTTTTCTGCTCTTTCCATGTCTGATTTAAAAAATAGGGCTCTACGTTTAAGGAAACTGTCTTGACCTACAAATGACTTGAAGGCAATAGTGACGTTCATGTTCAAGGAAATTATTGTGTGACCCTTTCCAAACCCTACATCTTTGTACATTGCTACATTTTTCATTATGAAATGAGTTTTTCTCTCTCAAATACCCATGAAGGTCATAGTCAAGGTCATGAGCAAAGTTTTTTCTTTCTTTCCGGGAGTCGTCCCACCAAAGTCCCCAATGGCACTGCATCCTTTAGGGTTTATTGTGCCTTGCTTCTCGAGTTTACAGTACCCAATCTAGCAGTCTAGTGTTCTGAACCAGTTGGTACAGTATTTCTGCCACTGTTCTTCTAAACTCCGTCGGTTCAAGTTTTGATTTCCCGAAAAGTTGACGTCTTTTGTGATCCAGCGCCTCGCATTCACATAAGACATGTATGGCTGATACTGCTCCTTTTCCGTACTGTCTGCAGCGAAGGTCTCCATCACACTGCCCTATTTTGCTTAGGTATTCTTTCATGCCATTTTGTCCTGTTAGAAGCTCGGAGTTGGTTTCAACTCATTGAGAGCAGTTCCGCAGTCTTGTTTGGATATGGTCCCGTGATTAATTCTTTCCCATGCCTGCATTAAGTCACTAAGTGCCAATGTTCCTTGTGCTGGTTTCTTACCCATTCTGTGACTTATTCCCTAATTGTGCTTTTTGGCACCTCCAAGGTAGGTTCTGCGCCTGTATAGGTTGTGGATGATCTTTTCCTTGCGAGCTCATCCGCCCTTTGATTTCCCGCGTCCTGGCACCCACATCAGTGTTACTCTGTTGTGTTCCGCCAGAGTGTTCAGTTCTTGTTGGCATTCCCAGATCAGTGCAGATGTCACTCTAGGACTTCTTAACGCTATAAGTGACGCTTGATTGTCAGTGTATATGGCGATCCTTACGCTCGCTCATTATTTACTCTTGCTCAATGTAAGATTACCAACACTTCTGGCTGAAATACAGATGAGTGACTTCCAAGCGGTATACTATGCCCAGGATTGTATCTTTTCCCATATATACGTACACCTGTTCGCTGCACAGCTTTTGACCCATAAGTTAATTGCTCTTGGCAAGCTGTGCGTTTGGTGTTTCGTTCGATCTCCTATTTTGGTCTCGAAGTTTTTTTAATTCTGGGAACTATGTGGACTTTCCCCGCATCGAGTATGTCACTTCCCAAATGTTTCCGTCACAGTGGCGGACTTAAGTAATAGCAAAATGGACATTACCGCCTTACCGTCTGCCCCCCCCACCCCATGGAAGGGTGGTCACAGGCCCCTCCCCAGCAAAAATCAGCTCTAGTGTCTAAATTGTTCAGCGCGTCTGAATGTAAAATTGATAACAAGAAATCAGAGTGTTGTTATATTCTTTTAATGACCATCTGCGTAATGTTTATGAAACAGCGCATTCAGTTTGAATAATAAAATTTCCCTTTCATTTCTTAAGAAATTTTTTGAAAAAGGACTATTTCTTTTCTAAAAAATGATCGAATGGAGTGGGAGGGTTATTTTTTAATTTTGCGCTTACAGTGATATATTATTACTTGGCATATAATGAATACTGTGCAGGTTAAATGCAAAAGAAAGAAATAGACTTGATGATGGCTCAAAGGTGCATTTCAGCAGCATTAAAGAATCTAAAAGATTTGAGCAGCGAAAGCCCATACGATAATTTTGTTCTGAAGGCTAAGAATAAATGGGATAGAATGGGAAAATCCTGGTTTTCCCATTGTCAGAAAGAGGAAAATCAAAAAAATGTTCTACGAAAAGCTGCTGACTCGCCACTGGAAACACACGAAAAACATCGAATAAATTACTAAGTTTTGGATTCAATGAGTAACGAATTGCAAGAACGTACTGAAGGATTTCGTGAAGTGAATGACGTGTTTGGTTTTTTGATGCCAGAGAAATTAGTCAATCTAAAAGAAAACGAAGTAGAAACCACTGTCAATAATTTGATGGAGAAATATTCGGAATTTTTCACTACAGATCTAAAATATGAATTAGCCAGTTTTACGAGCATGTATTTTTCGGAAAATCATAATTTTACTAATGACAGCCCGCTAGATTATTTGAAGTTCATGATTGCAAACAATTTTGTAGACAGTTTTCCAGAGAGCTTCAGATTGTTTTTGACTTTGCCTAACGGTTCAGCTAGTGCTGAAGGTGTCATGAGCTCTTTGAAAATTATTAAAGAATACCGTCGAGCGTCTTTGGCTAAAGACACACTCAACAACTTCTCTATCCTCTATATCGAAAGATCAGTAGCTAATACACTCAATTTGGATTCTGCGATGGACGTTTTTGTTGAACGAAGAGCAAGACGCGGATTCAAATTAGAATAATTCTGTTATTTTGTATTGAATAAAATATGTTTCATCTCACAGTCTCTACTTGATTCAGGTTATATAGACATATTGTAAAAAAACAGAGGTAACAGTGCGCAGCAGCTGCTATTGTGCATATAATTGTAAGCCCCTGTTAATATGTGACATCCTTATTGCCAGCAAAATCTATAGTTCGAACTTTATCTGAACAATTTAGATGGATTTTACCTTATCGAAAAATTTTAGATCCGCGTGAATATTGAAACAGTTGAATTAGCTGTTTTATTGGCACGTTGAAGCAGCATCAGTTTAACTTTTTGCATCAAATTACTATTAAAAAACATTTTGCACTATCCATCAGTTTGTTTCGGTTACTTGTGCAGGTCTTTCTAATTTTTTTATTCTCAGTTGCCGTCATTGATTTGCAAATAGCGATAAATGTGAAGAATAGCACTTTCGCAAATACTGCCCAGTGTATGTTATATCCTGTAGTAATGCACGTTATGTAACATATTTTGGTGTTGTTCACCAAGATTGTATTTACTGAAATATTAATCACGGCAAACATAACAACTATCGATCATATTTGTTTTTTTTTCTTACTTATATTTTTATCCAAATTCTATAAATAGCGTGCACTCCAAATTTGACTCGACGCCCTTTACTTTTATCGGTAGCATCCGTGATAACTTTTAAACTCTATTATGCACAAGAAGTTTGCTGGTGAATCATCAAGTTTACTTCAAAAAATTACGATGCGCATTACAACCTGTCCCGTGCCCGTGCGCACTATCAAAAGCAAAAACCACGCTATTAAATTTTAATATTAATTTCCGAGTTATCATGCAACTTTCAAAGTTTCTATAGTCTATTTTATTTGTCAATAATTGCAGTAATTTATGTTATTCGCGAAACAGTTATAGTGCACACTATTTGCCGTCTGTCCTCGATCATACCACTGGGAAGTGCATATTGCCGACCGGGCCCTTTACCTTAAATCCGCCACTGGTCCGTCCAAAAGTATTTTTTATCAAATTTGCTTACAGCTTAAGCGCGCGCGAAGAAGTTTTTCCTACATCAAGCCTATCTCATAGACAACCAGTCTTGCGCTATCATCTATGAACTTACAGTTAAATCAAAGTTGACAGATGCAGTGCTTAGTAGAAAATACCAGTACGGCATCCATTTAATATCTGTGCATTACAGATTCATCTAAGAGATTTGGAACTTTAAAAATTGGTGGTCGAACTAAATTCGCCTGGGGGGGGTTATGACCCCCATGACCCCCCTGGATCTGCGCCTGTCTAGTATTACCCCCAGATACTTGACTTCCCCCGACAGAGGCATCTGACCTCCCAGAAGGCATATAGGTCCTAGCCCCTCTATTTTCTACTTTCTGGTGAAAGCAACAATAGAAGTCTTACGTTTAAACCGTCGTTTGACGTCCACGTTGTGGCCACATTCAGAGCCCTTTGCATTTTGTAAAAAAAACTTCTCGCTCCTTACATTTCCGGCGTCGATAATAAGAAAACTGTTTTGACGTTAAGAGGACCTTGAATTAAATAACCCCTTTTAAAACTTTTACAACTGTGTTTTACAACATTTTTCTCTAGGAAACGTATTTTCGAGATATTTTGATGTATCCATACTTTTTGAACAGCCTGTATTATCTTCGACGTAGAAATAAATGAATAGTACCATATTTCAGGAAATAGCACGTATATGTTTTATTCACATCATAAGTAGATATTTCAACAGAGAGATATGGAGCGTTCTAAATTATTTATTTTTGGCACTTTTTCGGTCTATTGTTCCATGACGCTTGTAAAAATGCGTTGAGATAGACCTTGATAATTCCGTTTATGCGTTACATAATAGTTGCAATTCTCTGTACTTTCTACAATTTCGATTTTTCGATCTTTAAAGTATACCTCGATAGGTACA